AAGCCTCAAGAGAGCATGATAAGTCGTGTGGAAAAGATAATGAAGATGATTATAGATAAATAGTAGTAGCCCTTAAAGAACCGTCCACGTGACGCCCCATATTAGTGCTGCCCCTTTAACTAGTTAGCTTATCGTAGTCGTGAAATCACATATTTTAAACAGAATACTACTCCCTCATCAGCTCTAATAAAAGTTATTATGATTTTCGGTACTTGCGCTGAAAATGCTGCCACTGCCAGCGAATTATACAAGTAAATTGCAAGTGTCGCTGTTTAGAGATCAAACTCCCTCTTTCAACTTTCTCGAATACAAAGTTAGCCCTCTTATAATTCTTCTCTGACTTCTTGGGTTTTATAAATCTGTCCCTACGAGGCATAAAGTTTCCAACCTCGATATTGAAACCACACTGATTCCTTCACTGTAGTCAATATTTTCGAGTGGTTGAAATACCGAATAAGCGAAAAATTTCTAAAATAATTATTTCGTAAAACGAAAAAATAAAGATAAATTGGTAGGATGTAATCCATCCTTTTTTCATCTGGCGAAAAATATACTGTTTTTAATCACTTGTTCTGTAATGATAAAATATAAATCGCCAGTCAATGAGGCAAACCTTTGTGTGATGACTTATGCCAACCTCTGCAATACCTTTGACTGTGCCTGCATGTGAGCTCAGAATTATACGTTAAAGCAAAACTTTGCATTTTGATCCAAATAGCTTCAGTAGAGCTGACACCGGAATTTGCAAAAACCCTCAACTCTATAGAAGTTTTTCGTATGTAAGTAGAGTTTCGAGACTCCTATGCGAAATGAAATACAATCGCCAGCTTTAATTGTATCATTGTGGGAAAACTCTACCACTAGTCCATCATCACCTATAACGAATTAGGCTAAATACATCTCCTATTACTTTAGAAGATTTTTGACCTTGGTTTCGCAACTTGGTCATATTAGCAGGAAGATCTAGATGAACGCACCGTGTCCGGAGTCCATAGCATGCATGCTCATTTTCAGAGTCGGACTGTGGACCGATTGCCCTACAACATTGTGTTAACGAATGACACAATAGGGCAAAAGTATAATTATTAAAAGTCCGCTGTTGTCGACCCATTCCTCTCCGCAACTTTGCATCAGGTGGCAAAGTCGCGCTGGTCAATAATGAGGCGGACATTGACTCCAACGGAAACTTCAGTAGTACTGTATCTCTGCATTCCATAATTTGACTAGCTTTATGCTCCATTCTCCTCTTCGTAACTTACAATAAATTGGCAATGGTGTTACAGACGACTAGTTTTAGCAGAGGTCCAATCTATTTAAAAGCTTGGTCCTTTTAAGGTTGTCAGGATCTGATATTAGTTAAGGAATTACTGTGTTTTGAATTGACGAAAAGTGACTGATAAATACTTGGTTTTACTAGAAGCAATGCTGAGTGAGGTGTTGATTAACATCGGATAAGTGGACACTTAACAAGAATAAAAGGGGCACAAATTAGGTAAACTGGCAGACATGTGTCGGCGTGATGCAACGAGTACATTTTGTAATAGGCAGAAAACATTATATTTTTTTAATTAGCAAACCACTTAGCGCGCAAATAAGATAAAATGGCATCAGCAAAACTGTAGAAGCATAGCTGCTGTGTTAATTACCAGTTATTTACACGAAATCCATAAAACTGACTAAGGAAAAGGGTGTTCTACAGAGAGTTAATGGGCCATAGAGGAGATAGCTAATATAAGATCTATTTAACTTAACTAGTAAGGTAAAATAGCCAAACTTCATAGGCAATAATTCGTTATCGTTCGGGGAAACATAACAAAATTCGATTTACTGCAATCTATAAACCATCTCTGCATTATCATCAATTTACTCTCTGGTTAAAACTGGTTAAAATTAATGGCTTCTGTCCATGATAAGCCAAAGAATGTGGACATCCTATGCAGATGATGGTGTGATTATGAGGATACTGATGCGATAATAATGTGCAGCAGAGAATTAGCAGACCGCAAATGATTGCGTGCAATTGGTTTTTATGGACTCAAATGCCAATTGTTATAAGTTTTATTCAATTATTTAACTCTAACTACAGTCTAGAATACTATATTACCTTCACTGATTTTGTTGAAAGAGCCGATTTGTTAGACTATCAATCATATTTTCAGCATTAGCCCAAGATTATTCTAAAGTAAAAATATTAACTCAGTAGAAGTCATCACTTTTAGAGACTAAGCCACACAAGGGCATAGTGTGACTAGTTTTTTTTATTTTTTTTTCTAGCAAGAATGCGTTACCAAGTCTAATCATTAGCTGCAATATATGAGTAACACGGTAGATGAATCATAGCTCGGTAGTTTGTCTCCTACTTTTGGATATTTTATTACATGATACTTTATTAACCTGATGGAAGTGGATAATGCGTTTATTTTAAAAAAATCAAATTCCTTTTTAGCAATGTCTTACAATTTTTTACTATTTACACCAATGCATTTACTTCAAAATATTCTTGAGATTACAAGAGCATTTAGGCCTCATATAATTTTCTTGTATTTTATCTTTAAGCGTTAACAATATAGCAGACTTCCAGGAAATCGTAAATCATTCAGCCGAGTTAAGGAAAGTAGAAGAAAAGGACCGGACGGAGTGACGCCCCAAATTTAGACGACTTACTTTCTAGAGCAGAACACGGTTTCACATCACAAATTCGGCAGGAAGAGGGCCTGATATAATGATAATAGGAATTATTTAACTGAGTATGAGTAACGTAAATCAGATTATCAGCCTTTGCATTAAATTGAAAACTTTACTTATGTATGCATCACTGCTTCTACATAGACTGAAGGCTTATCAGAATAGAAAGAAATAAGAGTGGCATCAGATTAAATACCAAATTTTTCCTATTTTTAAGTAAAATGGAGAAACTTTACTAGTTCTATACAGAAAGCTAGTCCCTTTCCAATATTTATATTTCCAGGCTTGCTGACTTTCATAGTAGGCTCTAATATTCAACCAACCCTTGATAGGTTTGGAAGACTAGTCATAACAAGTATGAAATAAATTATTTTTAGACAAGTGGTGATATCATATACAAATTAGCCTTAGTAAAGCCTCCAACTGATAATTCATGAGCACTAGGCTCGCAAGATCGACTATTTTTGGAAATAATGTAGGCTCGCCTCAGGCTGCTTAAAATGAAGAAATAAGGAGATGTCATGAGCAGAGGCCATCACAAGCAAACCAGAAAAAGCAATTATATTTATCAAGGAAAGATAAAGATATTCATACCTTCGAAGCCATAATTGAAGACATTAAGTGAGTTTCAAAAAAGAAATTCGCTATTGACTAGTTCAACTTACATTATGGCATAGTCCGAATTATGATAAAGTTTTTTCTATCGCTTTAATCGTAAGCATATATTCTACTTTTTGAACTTCAAGATTTCCTGATCGAAACTTGGCTAGACTATTTCTTTCATAGAGGGAGAGTAGTAATTTTATTTCTAACTCGTTGTAGTGGCATTAATTCTTTTAAGAGTAATGGAACAGTATAAAAGGGCATCAGGTAGCTGGGTGATTAGCAAATTTGCGGAGGCTTATTTCAGCCGAGAGTTTGACAAATATTCAATGAAAGTTGCTTATTTTAACTTAAAAGTCGACTATTTTAAAAATAAATAGATTCTTAAATCTACATCGAAATATGATACTTCATATCGTCTTACTTCAGTTATCATATATGAATATTTTTCACCTTATTAAATTGTAGCAACACTCAGACTAACCTAGTCTAAAACGATCCTTCTATGATCATTTTATTCTCTGGACAAACGTTTGGAATAATGATACTTTAATGCTATAGTTAGGCCAATTCGAATAAAACAGCTCATAAAGTGGTTTTTGAACCCACACACGTAACTGATACTTTATAATATCTAAGTTCACATGAACATTTTCCGTCTTATGAAAGCATAGCAGCATGCTGACTATCCAATTTTGTGGAGAGAAAATATAGGCGGTTAGTAAGAAAAAGTTTATCATTTACTTTCAAAATCATCTTTACACTGCTTTGCGATGCAATAATGTAATTGGTGTGTTGAAATGTTTAAATTTACACATCTGTACAGAATGCATGGTTTTATGTTTCTTGGTCCTTCATCAACGTGATAATAGTACAAAAATGGTCATCGTACCGGCCATAATATGCACATATAATGAAAGGTTGAGAAGTAGCCTATTACAAATTATTAATAAAATAGCCATATTTATTAAATAAACTTCCTCGAATGGCTTCACGCGCAATATAGTTTAAAGCCAATATGGAAAAATCACAGTCTGGGAAAGCTATCGCTAGTTTCCTTTTGCTCGATTGGCTAGCAATAATTTAGTCTTTAAACCGTCTCGTTAAAGCACAACATGGCGTTTCCCATTCAGTACTCGTCACCCTCAACAAGATACTGTTTTTACCAGACTATATGAATTCATGCAAAGAATAAGAGAATTTTTACAAAATGCAAAAGCAGCACTGTTGCTGCTTTCATTAGCTTTCATTATGCCTTGAGTTGAATGCCTAGATTAGCATGTTGGATATAGTCTGAGTATAAAAGGAAGGGTAGCTACGCACGTGGAGATATGGGCAGTTATACGTCCCACGCATTCTAGCTAACCATAACCGGTGGATAGAAAAGCTATCAAAATGGATTTGATCGGTGGCAGATCAGAGAAGACATGCCGCAAAGGTGGAAATGCAGAAGAGAAAAGTGTAAATGTGCAAATATTCGGCTGGACAATGGGTCCACTTGATGCAATCGAGCTTTGATGTTTAATTTGGCAATATGGAGTCCTGCTCCAGAGCGGACGAAATGAGCAAAGAGAATAGAGCAGTCGTTTAGATGCGATGTAGCAGTGAGGATTTACCCGTTGGCGCAGATCACGGTGACAATTGTATGGAGGAGATGAGCAACAAAGGAAAAGGGAAAATGGTCGAGTGTGTGAAAAGAAAGCATCGCTAGTTTAACCTATGCCTCCGAGAATGGAGGCCGAGGAAACTGAGGAATTGGGGCCAAGGAGCCAGTTGTTCGATTGGTCGCCGGTGTCTAATCCTGAATGGTATTGCAGCAGATGAGATTTCACCTGCCGCGCTGACTGCTTCTTCGAGAGCCGCATTCGAGCCGAGAGCAGAGCGTCATGCGACTTTCTGTCTGCTCGACAGGGCAGTTCGATTTCCGCTTCCATTTCGCTACCGTCTACAGGTTCATGCGAGTTTGCCAGACCACCTATAGCCTCATGGTTGCAAATGTCTTCCTCATTTTCTTCACCCTCATCTTCTTCCTCTTCCTCATCTTCTTCCTCCTCCTCTTCCGCTTCTGCGCCTCTTTTCTGGTGATGCCCCAAGGCCTCTCTAAAGACAAAATGCCTTGGTTGCCTTGGCTGTGGGGCAATCCCGCCTCCAGACTCCACAGAACTCGGTGTTGCTAGGGTCCCATTAATCAGTCGGCCACTGGCAACGCCGTTTGTCGGCTTTACACCGTTTGTAATGGGATTCAATTCAGCAGAGTAAACTGGGCCCGAAGAAAGTGATGGACTGAACAGTGTCGACGAGTTGAGTCCCGCCGAGGGATACTGCGCGGAGAAGGCCGGAAAGCCGAGGCTTTGTTGCTGCTGCTGCTGCTGCTGTTGATGATGATATTGTAGTTGGGCAGCTGCCATCACCAGAGCCAGGTCGAGCTGGCTTGAAGAAGAGCTGGTTGTGGTCGGATTAGCCGCAGCCGCGGCCAGTGACGCGATTGAAGGATTAACAAATAGTCCATCCGTAACGGGACCCATCACCTGTCCGCCTGGCTCGCAGCTTTGCATGTGGATGCCCGGCAACCTGGAGCCTCGAGCCGGCAGTCCGGACCGCGGTGCCGTCAATCTGATATGGGTTGGACTGTTGTAGCCTGTACCAGTTGTTGCGGCGGTGAAAGAGCCCGACGATGGCGAAGAGACACTCTCCCAGGCGGAGAGAAGAGCATGTCCGGCCGGAGTGACGGAGTTGGGCGGAGTCGGAGAGGTTGCCAACGAGGTGACGTAGGCGGCCAGCGGTCCGGCGGGCTGGTAGCGTCGAAGGAGGGTGGCACTGAAAGCGGTTGCCGAGGCGGGGTTGATTGTCGGGCCGGTGAGGAGGAGCGGTGAGGTGGCGACAGTCGGACCAAGCGAAGCGATCGGAAGCTGGGCCAGACCGTCCGAGGGTGCCGGGGCCGTGGTCTGCAGAGGATGGTCGAGCAGAAGACGCGGTATGTCGTATTCGTGGCTGCCGGTGGCGCTGTACACGTAGTCGGGGGCAACCGGCCAGTAGGGGCCCGGAGTTGTGGCCACCGTCGTCAGGCCTCCTGAGTTCGGCAGGCTGGGCAGATGGGCGTGGACGGGTCGCGGCGTCGGGCCGAGTTCGCGCATCCCCGCCGCCCCAGCTTCTCCGGTTGCCACGAGGCTGCTGGACGGACTGACGCCGCTCCCGGCCGGGCCGTCGGTACGGGGACTCCGAGCGGTGATGGTGGGTCGCTTCACTTCGCCCGTCGAGATGGTCAGTCCGGCCGGTCCGGCCAGCACGAGTCGACTGTTCTGCTCCATTCCGGCGACGACCGAAGAAGATACCGAAGAGTGCCCGTGGGCGAGAAGGTGTTTGGTCGTCTGCGGCGACTTTGACTGAGCTCGCTGCCTCCAGACGTCGTCGCAGACTCCATGCAGCGGCCGGCGGCAGCGAGAGAAGAAGTAGAGCAGAACCAGAGTGCCGGTGAAGGTGCCGACGACTGCGCCGACCATCTCGAGCAGAGTGAACCGTTTCACGTAGAGATAGGCATAGGGTCGTCCGTCGGGCAGCGGAATCAGACCCGTCGAGCTGGTTGGCATGCTCGGTCGCCTCGACTGGGCCACGTCTGTGTCCGGCGGACGTGATGCGCCTGTCGCCAGGCCGCCATGGACGGGAAGCGACGAGGCCGGCAGAAGACTGCCTCCTTTTGGAGGTACAGAACTGGGCGGCCCGTAGATGCGAAAGGCGATCTGGTGCGAGCGATCCGAGTCCGCTCGACTGGCGTCTAGACGAGGCGCGACCAGAACTCGCGAATCCGACAGACCCGCAGCAAGGCCGCCGGGCAGTTCGGGCCCGAGGTCGTGCCAAGCCGTGCAAATGTAATCTTTGGCGTCCTCTGAAGGGACGGATGACCCAGCGGCCCCGGAGCTGGCGACGGAGGCGGAGGTGGAAGAAGAAGAAGAAGAAGAAGAAGAAGAAAGACTGATGTTGATCGAAAGTCTCGATTCGCCGGGAGAAACGGCCGTCTGATGTCCGACAGTTGAGGGTACGGGCTGACGCATGGCTTTGGCCAAGGCAACCACAGGATCTGTCGGACTGTTGGGATGGGAGTAGAGGCGCTGTATTCCCTGAAGAGGCAAAAAATAAGATTACATTTGATCAGATCGTGAATGTGAGGGTGGCTTAACTTTATTTTTAACCAGCTCGATGACCTCGGAAATCTGATTAAAAAATTAGCGCAATAGGGACAGTGGAAAAACATCATTGAGGCTAGCAGAAGTGACCAAATTAATGGAGTATTCCACAAAGTGTTCAGAAATTAATGATCAAAACTCTTTGACCGCATGTTTCTTATCTGCTAAAATAGACCAAATGGTAATAAAATGGTTGAAAAAAGTGGCTTTTTCGGTAATGCCTACTTTTATGAAGGCTGACAGAAAGTGACGTAATGAGATGTATTCACCCTATTTTGTCTAAGGTGATGAAGGACTGGTAGAAGAAGCATTTTTCCACAATGGTATGAGTTGAGCTGACGTTTTCATTGAATTTCACATAGCCTTGCTTTCCCAAAAGTTGTGGACTGCAGTCCACCCTGGATGAGAACAACTTTTGGGAAAGCAAGACTATGTGAAATTCATTGGAAATGTCAGCTCAACTCATACCATTGTGGGAAAATTCTACTACCAGTCCTATATCACCTTAGACGAAATAGGGTGAATACATCTCATTGAACGGATTTACTGGTAGTCTCGAAACCCTACTATCATACGAAAGAAAGTGAGGTGTTTATGCGGATTTGTCATCCTATTCTAAAAAGAAGGCTGAACACAATAATGCAAATTGAAACTGTTGGGCTTAATGATTCGATTTAGCGGCGCAGACGGAAATCGGATTATGAAGTAGAATGGCATCAAACGGGTCGCAACGCTGAGTATTGCATTTCGGCTGCTAAGCGTAAAATACTGGAGGTAAACGAAATTTACAGACTGGGAAATACCGGTGACAAGTAAAGTAATCACTACTTATAGTTTATTAACGAACTTAATGATAGACAGGATGCTGAGTCGCCTGGAAGAAGAGGCGACTCAACGAATCTTTTGCTGGTGCAGGTTCTACTTACAGTCGTTCATTCGATTCGCCTTATTTTATACTAAAAAGTTCATTAACTTAGCCCACTGTGTATTTGCAATCATTCAATCGAAGTAAGGTTCATAAAGAAGAGCCATTAAACCTTACTGACACAGGACATATGTTACTCGCTGATGTAGTTACAACCATTAATGTTGGCTTCGTATCTATACGAATATAGCCAAATAAATCACTCTGTATCTCACAAAAATGTTTAAAATTAGACTAACTATAAGTCATGTAGTAAGTTTTATTGGTTAATAAGCTTTAATTTGGGGTTGACGATGCCTATAATACGACAGATAAAGTCGAATAAGAGGAGATTTTACAGGCGACACCGTCAAATAAAATATCTCAGCAGAGCCAGACAACAGTTAGCCAAAAAGAATCTGCAGTCGCTTTTGATGGTATCAAATTTCCTCACACTTTTTCACAGGAAGTGAAAGGGATATCACAAATTAAAAATAGTGATACATTATTAACCCATCTTTAAAAGCAAATCCTTAAAAAAACTGGTAACTGGTAAGAGATGCAATATTTAAAATTGTGCTTCTAATGCGGTTTGCTAACGCATATGGTTTGCAGATTTTATCACAGACGATGACTTATACAAGAATTGAATGAATACAATCACAAATTTGCTTAGAAATTGGAGGATATTTCAAGCAAGTGAAAGCTGCTACATAATAGAAGCTTCCTGATGCGAGTTATGGGGTTGATCTCACAAACAAAGGTATTTCATTGGGGGGGGGGAGGGGGACTTTCATTTCGTATGAAAATGCATGAAGAAGAGATTCGTAGGTCGATCTCCCCAGAAGAGGACGGATGAATCCCGTTGTACGGCAGCCGTTTGGCTTTTATACGACGTTCAGTTTGACGCAGTCGACGAGACATCCTCCCTCGTTTTGGTTGAAAACGGGCTGAGCTTTCTTTCATCAACTGATGGACATCATCAGAGCTGGGTTTCATTCTTGTAAAAGTCTCACGTTTACACTAAAGCAAGAATACTATCCAACCAGTTGACGATGTTTGGCGAACATCTTTCTACTCATGTTACCAATCCAATTTCGCCCTTGAGTCCAATGTGCCGTCATTGTTAATCAGGCTCATCTGCACAAGTACGTGGGCATCTCTGATGAAATTTCTCCAATTCATACCCAGGACGCCTTCGATGACTCCTGAGAAACCTTTTTCAATGCCAGAGTCATATTTTCGTTCCCTAAAATGCAGTATACTCCAACGGCCTGAGAAAGTCTGGGGGTGAATTTAATGTAACAGAGCACTGGATGTTAAATTAACGCTTATTATTTCTGAGTAATATAGCATAATCTATAATGTAGTGTGCCTTGAGTCAGGAGCTTTATGCCTAACCAGCGTAAGACCACGAACTGGGGATTCGGAATATTTTACAATTGTATACACTGAAGTTGAGTAAGATTTCGTTCTGTAAAGAGTGGCTGATTGTTACGTTTTTACGAGTAAATGCTCTATTATCATTTCAAATCTTCTTGCCTCAATATTCGGTTTATTAACTTGGCAGATTTGTGATTAAGGACATCATTATTTCCAAGTGTGGACAACATTAATAAGATATGCTTTCAAGCATTCCGTAAGTGTTCCATAATATTTCGAGGCGCAATTGAGTTGATGGTTAACTTTGATGTTCATCGAATTTCACCTCTAAGCAAGCTTTGGGCTGTTTTCATGCAGAAAATTGCGATAAAAGTTCGCACCTGAAAATACTGACCACAAAAAGTGTACTTTATCGGTTGATCCAAGTAGTACAAATTAAAAGTAGTATAGACTAATTTAAATGTGGTAGGAGTCGACTATTAAAATTATGACTTGTTCCATTGCCCTTCGAAGTGCGGCTAGACGAACGTATAAAACAGTCTTCCTGTATCACAGCAAAGAATGCACAAATGAAAACGCACATTGTAAGCATCATAATCATTGTGCTCCATACTAACGGCTGTAACGATGGCTCTATATGAATATTGCTCAGGTGCTTTTTGTATGCTGTTAGTCTCAGCTGTGAGGAATATATTTTAGTCAATGTGAATGAGTTATTGATCTCAGAAGCAGAGGTTTGCCGAATATGGTATGTCTGCTACTAAAAGGATGATAAAAGGGGCTATCGAAATTGATAGATTAGGGAATACGTTGAATGTGAAGAAGGATTGATGCTTAGCTCTTTTATAATTGCTCTGAGTTAACATACAGACGTTAACATGCATGCACAAGCAGGCACACTTGAACATAAGTGAATTAACCAAACCCTTGAATTTCCATCAATATCTAAATTTTTTCCGCCATGAGTGTATATATCATATAGAAAAAAGCCGGCCAGTTTTCTTGAATTAGTGTTAACTTGGGGCTATTACAAAAATAAGTTCTGATGAGGCCCTTCATATGCCGAACAACAGCTCAGCCCGTCTTCACTTAAAACGATGGAGCATGTTCCGTGGACTGCATTAGTCTAAACGCAGTATTAATGCCAAACGGTTGCCATACAACGCTAATCAGCCAGAGTCAGCTAATGAGGTTTACCGTCGAATATCTACATCATAAACTTGCATATGAAATGAAAATTCTCAAAATAATCCTATCTCCGGAGATTCTCTGGCACCAGCATTTTTTCATGTATGCAATGTGAAATAATTCCGTATTATGGTTTATGAATGGAAGAAGATGCTTCAATAGGGTAGTCGTAGATAAGCTTGAATGTTGAATGGAATTCATTGCATCATGCATCCCAAGCAGCCAAATACTCAAAAAACATAAATTTCGAGGTGAAGTTGGTTACTGAATTTGCGTATAACTCATTATTGTTAGCAAAATAATGTCAAAAATCTAAGGAAACTTATAAACTTTTACCTTCAGAAGGCGAATAGGATCAAGGAAGTCTCATTTGTTATGCCATCCTATGGGGACACTTAAAATTTATGACTTACGCTTGCCAAATATAGTCTGAGCACAGTAGCAAAACAAAAGATATAGTTTCAAATATCAATTGTACGAACATATTACTAAATTGCTCGAAACGTCCGATTCTGAAGTTCTGGCAAAGAATATATTGACCTTCTTCTACATCGAAAAGTACCAATTTCAGAAAGTTGAAGTCAAAATTTGAGCGCAAATCCAACAACCCAAGCATAAGGTTATCCTCATGGCCAAGAACATGATAAGTACTGGTTATAGGGTCATAGAGGAAGCAATAAAAGGTGTGAATTGTAGATAAGTCCTACCGATCCTGAATCTCTGTGCTGCTCAATCGGCTGGCCAACCTAAGGGCAGTATGTAAGCCCTCAGGAGGACCAAAGGATCAGGCCTTATAGTTGACCTTCCAGATAGCATTAAAGCTTAGAGAAGAGTGAGCCTGTGTACAGTCAAAATTAATGTGGTGTCTACTGGGAACTATTTCCGTGGTTTTACTGGCATAACGTGATGCTGGAATATAAAGAAGCCTTTAATAATTACATGACATTGTGCCATTCATTTTATTTGAAAAGACGAATTAAATGGATTGGTGACTTGGCCTCAGTGAAAGCAAAAGAAGGACTTCCTTAGAGTTTTGACTGTAGATTCTGATGAATAAGCCCTCGTTGCAGTGCTCGGCTATCCCAAAGAAGGCCATGTGCATGAAACGATGATGCATGAAATGTCATCAAGCCCTAATGCCAGAAAAGTGGCTGACTGCATTCTTGCCTATTTCTTATAGTCTGACTTTGCCAAATGATAGGCGAAACATCATAACGGATTCAACTGGGTCGAAAAACGGTGCGGTAAAGAATTTGCACGATCCCGAAATCACGATTTAATGTTCTTTTTTTTTACTTTTGAGGCAATTTTATGAGTGCCTACCAAACACCTCTACAAATGTTATGAAGTTATGACAACATAAATGTATAGGAAGATACTTCGGAACCAAGAG